AATGCACACTCAGAAAGACGATTCCTCTTTTTAATTTTCTTCTCCAAAAAGAGATGTGTTCACAGTCCAAGACTGCAAATCTGAGCAATTTGGTCAATGATATAAACACAAATGAAAATTAGCCAACAAAAGAAATTCACTTGAGTTAAACAGGAGGTTATTATCATACCTTGCACCCTCTTCTGTAACTAAATGGAAAATGAGTCAGGTTAAGAACCAACCAGAGGGGACAAAGCAGCTACTACTAACACTGAGTAGCGTTCCAGACACAGCAAAAATATAAAATAAATAGGATACAAAGATGCAATTCTAGGATTATGTGTTTCCCCAAAAACATGCTATTCCAGATTCATTTTTAACCAAATCAGACTGCATCTCAAGTAAATAAGAAAATACCAGTTGCCACAAACAGCTCAAAATATGTATAAATATTTCCGAAGGCATCACTAAGACTATAATCTCATCTCTCAAGGTTCTCAATTCTTCACTTCCTTTACTGATTTCTGGAAACAAGTGGACCAGGGTCCCCAAATCTTGTTACCCTGCACCATTATTTATATTTTCACCAATCTAGCATGGTGTTGCAGATTTGAAATGGCAGCACCCCGAGTCCACTCCTTTGGCACACACATAGGAGTGCAAACACACACACACATACACATACACACGAGGCTAAAGATGGTAGAAAGCCATCAATGGCAAAGTGAATTTATTTGATTGTAGTGATTAGTACTACACACTACAGGTTCAATCCTGCTCCTTTTGAAATTGGTGGTATTACTCCCATTGAATTCATGTGCTCTGAAAAATGCCTGAGTTTTGCAAATTTATCATTTTGTCATCTATGCTTCAGGTCAAAACTATAATCCAGTGTTTTAGACTTGGTTCTGAGCCAAAAGATTTTTACTGAAGGTTCATAGAATGCATACTTGTCCTTCAGAGAGGTGCCAATCCACTTTACAACCAAGGAGCAGAGTGGCTGAGTGTCTCAGAATGGTCGGAGGGTTGCAAACATCTTGCAGGTGACCACAGCAACACCCCAGCTCCCAGAGTCTTGCCAACAACAGCACCTCACTTTAACTCAACAGAAAGGATGAGAGACCATCCTTTCTGAGAGCATTTCTGCAGTGGATGTGATCCATACTGATTTACTGACATTTATGGGGCATTACGCCCAAAATCGATACAAAACATCTCCCTGTGTTTTTGTTGCCATTTCTTTTTTGTTTAGTTGTTTTTTAAAGAAAATAATAACATTGTGCTTCAAAACCTTCTGAATAAGCAATTCAACAACACATTTCCAATGGTATTTATTTATGTGGCTTTTGGATGACAAAGAGCGAGTGCCATTTTGGGGAATAGAGAAAATGTTTCTTTATGTTGTAAATAAAATGTAAATCCTCTATGTGGCCAAGATGTGCTTTTTCCTACCTCACATATCCATATCAAACCCCAGTGTCTGTGCTGGCCATTTTCATGCTGGTATATTACCAAAACATACTGTCAGCTGAGCAAAACAGAAACTGTACAAAACCAAAATATTCTTCACTAAAACACTTTCACTTTAAGGATGCTGATGCTTAAATACATTGTTTATTCACCTTGTTACTGTCTGCCAGGCTTCCTCTGGTACCTCTCCCTGCACTGGCTCACTTCTGGCATGGCCTAACAGGAAGTTTTCCTCCATGAAGAAATGAAACCTTGCTCCCTGCTTCTTTTTTCCCCTGCACTTAGGCTTTTTGTGTTTTCTTACCCCCAGGATAAACTTGGGCTGAATTCCATTAGTTCTGGGTCTGGCCCTGCTTTTTTGGTCCCATCAGTAACAGCTCATCATCTTGGGACCCCCCAGCCATCCCTACCTTCCCTCCCACCCAGGCTCATGCCTCTCCCCAGCTTGGTGATGGTTCCCCTACAGAAACCCTCTGTGAGCTTTGCTCCATCAAATTCCTCATTTCACCAGCCCCCCACGGCTGCCCTGGGGTTTTGGGCACCGCAGGTGAATGCCTCCAGGTGGGTTTGGGATGTCTCAGAGAGAGAGACCCCACGCCCCCCTTGGGCAGCTGTTCCAGAGCTCTGCCACCCTCCGTGTGTCCCTGCCCTTGAGGTGACAATCCTTGTGCTTTGTGTTTACGGCCACTGCTCCTCATCCCGTTGCTGGGCACCCACTGAAGAGTCTGACACCTTCCTCTCGGCACCCCTTGGAGGTTTTTATAAGCATTGATGAGATGCCCTCGCAGTGTTCCCCAGCTCCCTCAGTCTCTCCTCTCAGGAGAGCTGCTCCACACCTGTCATCGTCTGCCTGACCCGCTCCAGCAGCTCCTTCTCTTCCTTGTCCAGAGGAGTCCGGAGCAGGAGTGGGTTTTTTTCTGGGGTGGGTGTGTGGGGGGGAAGACGTTCTCTTCCGCTGCGCTGCTCTTCGCGACATTACGGCGAGCACCGGCACGCCAGGAATGCGCGCTCCCGCGGCGGGGCCGCGCGGCGCGGCGGCGCGCAGCGGCGGGGGCGGGATGACATCATGAGAAAGTGGCGGCCCGGCCTCGGCGCCGCCGGCAGCGGGCGGGCGCCGCGGGGAGGGGAGCGCCGGGCAGGCAGCGAGCGGGAGCGAGGGAGGGAGAGCGGGCAGGAAGGAAGCGCCGTCGGAAGCCCCCGGGGGCGAGAGTGGCGGAAGCGGCCGCAGCACGCATCCCGCATCCAAGGATGGGCGGCTGGGGAGCGCACCCCGAGGCTCCGGTGCGGGCAAGGCGGCGCGGTCTCGGTGGCTCGGGGACCGCCCGCTGCCGCCGCCGGAGCGAGCGGGGGCGGCCCGGCGGCGGCTCCGGCGCTGCCACCCGCCCCGTCCCCTTTGTGTCGGCGGGACCGGGCGAGCCCCGGCCTAGATCTGCCCGTCCCGCCCGGTAACAGCCCCGCGCCGCCATTGGCTCCCGCGCCGACGCTTCCTGCGGCCGCGCCGCCCCGCGGGGGCTCCCCGGGCCCCGCGCCAGCCCCGCCCGCCGCCGGCACCGCCCGCCCGCCGCGCGGCCCCGCGTCCCGCCGCGCTGCTTTTATGAATGGAGCGGCGGCCGCGTGCTCCGAGCGGGGACAGGCACCTCGGAGAGCCCGCTCCGACCGGCGGCCACCGGCAGGATGGCGAGGCTGCGCCGCGCAGAGACAGGGACCCGCGTGGCTCGGCGGCGCGGCCGGGAGCAAATGTTGGGAAGGAAAGAGCTGGCACGGTCCAATGGAATGCGGCCGGCTGCCCCAAGGGCTCGCCAAACCAGCTGCTCACCAGAAAGGTGTTGGGGGTGCAGGGTTGTTAATTAAATAGGGTCCCCCCGGATGTGCATCCAATTCCCACCCGACAGCGCGGGGTCGTGCGTGCTTCTTCATTTGATATTAAAACCTTTCCGGCCAGCTAAACTTGTGGAAACAGAAGTGGGCGTCCTGTGCGTGAAGCACAATAGACAGGCGGAGGGACAGGGGACAGCTTCCTCGCTGAGGGACCCTCCGGAGTCTCCCCATGGGCTGTGGCGTGCAAGGGGAACTGAGAGCGCGGGGCCTCCGCCATCCTCCTCCTCCTCCTGACAGACGGAGACAAAATGGAGACAAATGGTCAAGCAAACGAGTAAATGAGAAAATGGGCAGACGGTCCATGCAAAGAGATTACATAAACACACAACTGTGCAACAACATGCCCTGTGATCTTTGGCACTGCTCTCCCTGCAGGTCACGCAGGAGAGATGCTGGGTCCTCCATGGCTAGCCACCATCTGCAGTTTCTGCCGTCAGCGTTGTACCCCGGGCAGGTATTTGACACCCGGGTGATGCCAAAGCACCAAGGCTGAGGTTAATCCGTGCACCCCAATTTACAGCCTTCCTGCTTCTCCCTATGCCACTTTGGGGCAGGACAAGTCACTTCTCCCATGCATCAGCCTCACCTCCAGTGCTCCCCAGTGGGCCTCAAGTTGTGCTGTCAACTCCTGGGAAAGTGAGGCTTTCAGAGATGCCCTTTTTTAACAAACAGTGCGAAGCAGAGCGTCCTCAGGTACAGCAGGCTCGGCCGGGCAGCGGGCGTTATTTACGGTGGGGCCCCACCACGTGTGGACAGAATGTCCTGTAGACACGGATGAGGCCCCTGCAGGCTCCGGCGGCTGCCAGCACCTCCCTCCCAGCCCACCAGCTCATCTCCCCAGAGGTGCTGGAGGGAGCCCTGGCCTCCATTTTGCTGCTCCGCTGGGATATTTTCCCTGGGTGGAGGTGAACAGTGGGGGTGAGGTGCGAGCGTGCCCTTCCCCGGTGTGCTCTGCCACCGGCTGCACCTCAGATTAGTTCTCGCCCGGTCCCCTGCCACCTCCATGCCCCTCTGGGAAGGCAAAACCTTTAAAGTGAAAGACCTTAAAAAAAAAAAAAAAAAAAAAAAAAAAAAAAAAAAAAAAAAAAAAAAAAAAAAAAAAAGAGGTTGTAAAATAACCATCTTGGCAGAGGGGTGGACACCTCAATTGTTTTAAAAAATTTGGTGTGCAGTAAAACCATCCTGGCTGGGAAAATACAGGACTGAGGAAATAGGAGAAAGGCTTTCCCTTGGAATCAGCTACAAAGAGTAGGCATTCAGGTTGGGAGTGCGCCTTTTTAAAGGACAGCGTGGCAGCTACATGCCAGTGACAGCACGATTAATAATTAATAATAATAATAATAATAATAATAATAATAATAATGATAGCAAACAGCGAGGCGCTGGTTCTGCTCCACTCCCCTCCCTGGCGCCCCTGTAAAATAATACGAAGTCTCCTTGCATTTCTCTCCCTGGTGTCTGTGTGTGGCCTTAGCCCCATTCATCATTTGGCTCCCAGTGCAAAACTCGCTCCATTTTTAAAATTATGCATGATCCACTGAAGAGACAATTTGGGTTTCCCCCACTTCTCCCTTGCCCTTGAAGAAAGCGAGCCCTTGTCTCATTTGCATTAAAACCCTGCTCTCTATAAGTTAAGCAAAGGGGAAGGACTTGAAGCCTATGGGATGGCTTTAGGGCTCTGCCCCTTGCTTTTGGCTCTCTCTCTCTTTCTCATTCTCTCTCGTGCTTTGATCTCTGCTTAACAACAGTAACGTCACAGGGACTACACCAGGAGAGTTTTGTTGGAAGTTAGAAAGTTTTGCAGCCTCCAGAGGGCTGTAGCGGCAGTAGCAGAAGCAGCATCCAAGGGACTCCTGGAAGGGGAAGAGAGAGAGCGAGCGAGCGAGCGACTGACTCAGTCCTGCTGCAGAGAACTGACTCGAGGCGACGAAGGCAGACATGGAACATCAGCTGCTGTGCTGCGAGGTGGAGACCATCCGACGAGCCTACCTGGATGCCAGCCTCCTCAATGACAGGGTGCTGCAGACAATGCTGAAGGCGGAGGAGACCTGCTCGCCCTCCGTCTCCTACTTCAAGTGCGTGCAGAAAGAAATCTTGCCATATATGCGGAAAATAGTTGCCACTTGGATGCTGGAGGTTTGTATCTTTTCGGGAACTTTTCCTTGCAAGCTCCGGCACCGAAACGAATTAATCCGGGGAGCCGCTGCCCCGTCGCCTGCCCCCACTCCCTTTCCCCGGGGTCGCTTCCCCGGCGCGGCACACGTTGCATGCCCTCGTGGAACGAGGCGGCGGTGGCCGCCGCCGGCTCGGTGGCCCCGCTGCCGCAGCCGGTCCCGGCGCCGAGGGGCGGCGGACGAGCCCTCCCCCCCACACACCCCGGTGCCCCCGGGAGTCGGGGGGTGCCCGGCAGCCTTTCCGGCCGTCGGGGATCGGCGGTGCCAGCGAGGGGAGCCGGGGCAGGGCCGGCTCGGGGCTGCCCTGGCCCGGCGGGGAGCGGCTCCGGCCCGGCCGCCGATCCCCGGCCGCGCGGGGCCGCCGCCAGCCCCTGCCAGCTCGTGTTTTCTGGGGATTTTATTTTAAATTAATATCCCTGTACACGTATGCAAGCGGCTGCCCGTGCCAGTATTATGCGCCATCTTTGTTCTTTTTATTTGCAAAGAAAAGTGTTTATTAATCGGGAGAAAAACGAAGAAAGTCCCGGGGAGCAGAGCCAAGGGTGTGTGTGTGGCGGGGGGGAGCGGGGGAAGGCGCCGGGGGAGGAAGGTCGGGGGCCGGGGGACCCCGCTGGGGCTGCGGGCAGGGGGACCGGCTGGAGGGGCTCCTGCGCTTCTGGGGGGAGTTGCAGGGTGAAAGTTCCTTTGTTCAACGCGAAGAGAGGCTGGAGCTGCGGTCACCCCTCAAAGGCACGCTTGTGCTGCGGCAGCGATCGGCAAGGTCGCCTGGGAAAAGCCAGTTTGAAAGGGCCTCGTCCCTGGCGGGACACGTCCGAGGGGGCTCCCAGAGGGAGCCCCAGGAGCTGGGCTACATTTTCATGCCTTTTCGGAAGCCCTGGGTGCCCGTGATGTATTTTTAATTAATTTTTGAAACCGCAGCGCCCTGCCTTGCTCTGGGGAAATGTCGCGCCGGGCTGTGCTGCAGGGCGAGAGAGGGAGGCGGTGGATTTCACTTCGGGGGATCCCCCTGTAGCCCCCCAGCAGGACCAGAGCCACGGGCCTCGGTAAAGGACCCCCGCTGCTGCATTTTCAGCCTTTTTTGAGAGCTCGAATTATTTTTTAAATATTTTTAAATATTTTTTGAAAAGATGACGTCTGGGGAAATGAGGCTGGACGCCACCTTTGTGTCTCGACCGGAGAGGGGAATCGGGAGCACAACGGCAAATTAGATGAAAAAATAAAAGCGAAATTAATAAATCCGGGGCCCAGCCCGGATCTGCACCCCGTTACCAACCACGGGGGTTAGCGTTTTCCCCCGATTTCCGTCTTCTTCCCTTTTTAAAAATTTGTTCTTAAGGGCTGGAAAACTGGGCGCAGACCTCTTCTTCGATAACCCCCCTCCCCTTTTGCCATGAATCACCTGCGGGTTTCTAACGCAACATTTCCCCCCACTTTGTCACTCGTGACTTTCATTTTCTTTGATGACGCTACTTTCCCCATATTTATGTATTTTTTTCCCAAATGCGTTTCCCCCTTGTCTCCTTCAACCTTGCCCTGCAAAGCCTGGTGGTGAGGGAGGAGGGAGGGCGAGAGCAGCGGGACAAGCCTGGCTTTCGCCTCAGTTAAATTATTCTTCAACGATCTCTCTCCTTCTTGCAGGTTTGCGAGGAGCAGAAGTGCGAAGAGGAAGTTTTCCCCTTGGCTATGAATTATTTGGACAGATTTTTGTCGTTCGAACCCCTCAAGAAAAGCCGATTGCAATTGCTCGGAGCTACCTGCATGTTTGTGGCTTCAAAAATGAAGGAAACTATTCCTCTCACCGCAGAAAAACTGTGCATTTATACAGATAACTCCATTAGACCCGACGAATTACTGGTAATTTCACGTTCGATCACTTCAGGAATTAAAAAAAAAAAAAAAAATCGAAATAAATATTAAAATATAGATATACAGAGCTACAGGGAAAGGAAAAAAAAAAAAACAAACAAAAAACAAAAACCAAACGGCGCGTTCGGAAGCTGGCGGCAGGCAGGGATGGGGCCGGGATGGGATCGGGAGCAGCACCGGGACCCCCCCGGCCCGCCGCGCTGGGCGGCCCGCGGGCTCCCCCTGCCGGGCCCGGCGGGCGCTGCCCCGGCCCGGTGCCGGCGCGGGGGGACCCGCGCACCCCGCCCCGGCAGCGGGACAGCGCTCTAATCACGCTCCCCCCACTTCTTCCTCTTCTCTCCTTCCCCCTTCCCGTCCCTCTTCTCTTTGCAGCAAATGGAGCTGCTGCTGGTGAATAAGCTGAAATGGAATCTGGCTGCAATGACCCCCCACGATTTCATTGAACATTTTCTTACTAAAATGCCTCTGGCAGAGGACACCAAGCAGATCATCCGTAAACATGCTCAGACTTTTGTGGCTCTGTGCGCTACAGGTATGAGCCCTGCACGTTGCGCAAAGCGCGTTGCTCCCCGACATGCGCCCACCCCCCGGCTTGTAAAGCTTCCCGTAGCTGTTGGTCTCAGGCGTGCTCGCAGAGCTGCGGGGAGGTAGTTTAAGCCCCGATTATTGCCCCTTGTTTGCAGAAGGTGGATTACTTTGCCAGAGGTAAGTTTTTCTTTTCAGAAGATATTTCGCTTCTGAGTCGGAGTTTTGTGTGGTTGTCAGGGAGGGAGAGCGACTGCCCCCCAGCCCTGCTCTCTGTAGCTCAGCGTGGCACGATTTCTTCACCTCCCCACACCGGATTTATGTGGGGGCTGCAAATGGCTTACTGTCCGTGCGGGGAATCCCTCCCCGTGTGGATTCATTCTTTAGGACAAGTGTTTAAAGGCGGAGGGAGATTTTCCCTGTCAATAGCACTGTGTGGGGGTTTTAAACCTTCCCTCTTCAAGTTGCGTCTTCTCCCCCCTCCTCGGTGGCTGGTGGATTGGAGGAGGGCCACGTGGCACAGAGGCTTTTCCTGGCACAGGATCGAGCCGCTGCCATCTGCACCCTCGTGACCACGTGCTGTGCTGGAGCCATGAGCAGGGCTGGCCTCCAAAGACACCAAAAAGCCATGGTGTCCACTCTCCAAAACCTCGGTGGGACATGCCAGTGGCCCGTTAGTGCTGTGTAGCTTGTTTTCCAGATGTTGGATTTGGTATGAAAAGGTTGAAGGAAGATGGCAGGCACTCAGAAGGAACACAAATGAACAAAAATAAAAATAAACAAAAAACCAAAAAAAGACACCCAGAAACAAAAAAAACCAGTTTTATTTCACAGAACTGGTCCTGCTCCAAGGCCTAAAGATAGAACGACCAAGCCATAAAAGAGAAGTTTATAAACACTGGCATTGCTCTTCATCTTGGGCCTAACATCAGCGTGAAGGGCAGCTCATAGGTGAGGTTGCCTGGAGTAATGCTCAGTGCTGGAAGTGCCACAACCTTCAAACCACTGGCAGCAATATTTTGGGAAAATCCGGTGTGTCCCTCTGTGCCAGGTTCTACCAGATATGAGGCTGCTGTGACTCTGGAGGTGTGATTTGGAGCTAAAAAGAATGGCCACCTGGTCTCCCCTTTGGATGTAGGGATGTTTAACCTGGGTTGTTGTGTTGGCAATGACAGGGATGAAAGCAAGAGTAGTTCAAAGGTTGGAGACTTGCTAAGAGTCCAGTACTTTGATCTACTGTCGGTGTTATGTTTCTTTTAGGAAGCACATCCAGAGCCTTTATTTAACACTGCTACACACCACAGCTGGAGAATGGATCAGTAAATGAGAACCATGTTCTGGGAATTTCACTGAGCTTTTAAAAAAAAGAGTGCTGAGCTCACCAGAGTTGGGGCCCTCTTCAGCTCCCTATTGGAGTTGGGAATACTGCCTGGGGAAGGAGCACTCAGGAAGGCTACCACTAGGCTCTGTGTTTTTATTGTTATTTTTGGATGTCAGGGGTTCCTCTACCTTCTGCTTTCCTCATGACTTCTTTGTTGGCTAGTGAAGATCACATGTGGCTTAAGCAGCATCTGGACTTTGCTTTGCTGTTGCTGGGTTGTGCTGCATATCCCCATTGACAAAATGAACCTAGATGGACTGCAAATGCCTTGTGCTGCCTGGATGCTGTGGGGCCTGATCCAAAGTCCACTGGAAACACTGACAGCTCGCTTAAGTGGCCTCAGGGGCAAGTGCAGTCTCTCCTTTGCCTGTGCCCTCTTCTGTAAAGGAGGTTCTCCTAAGAAGAGACTGCAAAATAATGCTTGCTTAGAAAACAAACCCTTGGCCAGTTGGCTTACCAAGGTGAAGCCTGTGGAAGTATTTGTAGATGAGTGTTTATGTGTTTGCTCCAGAAAAAGAAGGTTCTGCTGCAAGGTGAAGTTGAGGGGAATTCCTCCTAGGCTCCCTCTCCAGTTGTCTGGCTAGTAGAAGTACAAGTGGGTTTGTTTGATTTGGTTTGGTTTTGAAAAATCCATTTTCACCAAAGCATGCCTTTGTGCTGTGGTAGGTTTGGGAGAAAAAGCAAAAAAAGAAAAAACAGAAAAAAGAGAAAAGAAAAAAAATTACCAGGGTTTGTTTGAAGTTAACACATAATTGAGCTTAATGAATGGGACTTTGGCATGGCAGAGCAAGGCAGAGAGAGCTCAAAAGGAAGCAGGCCTCTTTTGGCCCAAGTTAAGACTGGTGTTGAGGGAGAACTGCATGCAGCTCTATACAAGCACAACAATGAATAGCAACAAATATTGGACCTTCAGCATTTCATTATGTTCCTCTGGTTATCAAAACATACCAGGCTCCTTTTTATTTTATTATTTTTATTTTTATTATTATTATTATTGCTGTTATTATCGTTGCTGCTTTGGTCCTCTCCAAAGGAGAAAGAAAGATCCCCCTTTGAAATGAGTCTGTTACAACTGTCCCATTCTCTGGCCTTTATAAAATTGGAAGTCTCAAGGTATGTGACCAGTTGGAACCTGTTGCATCTTGCAGCAAGTGATTTATGTTCACAGTTTTGATTTGCCTCAATGAAAAGATTTTCATTCATAGCCCCGAGCTCTCCAGACGGATGGAATTGCTGCTCCATTTAAAAAGGAAAAGGGGTGACTCGCCTTGTTAGGAATTTTTTTTAAAGCGCTGCAGCGCCTATATGCCTGCTTTGTCCTCCCTTCAGGGTGGCTGGCATTCTTCTCTCTCCTCCCCCTCCTCTCTCTCTCCCTCTCTCTCTTTTTAACAACGCTGAAGTTGTTTATTCTTTTTGGATGAAGTCTCAGATAGGCTACTGGGGATGTGTGCTTCAATTGATGGGGCCCCCTACCCCATTGTGGCTGTGTCAGGTCTAATTCATCTCACCGAAGCCCCCTTGTTCCTGAGCGCTCAATAGCGCAAGATGAGGCGATGGAGGCTGACAATGATGCCACACTCTTCACTTGGGGGCATCCAATTACAGGCGAGAGGGGCCCCCTGATTAATATGCTGAAATTAGTGGCCTCTGCCACAAATAATTCCTTGTTGAGTTGCAACAAAAAGGCAGTCCATGCTGCTTGTCTGGAGTGGTTATGGGGACAGACACAAACTGGTCATTTAAACTTCATTATCACTTTTCCACCTTGGAAAGAATGAGGGTGTGACTATGAATTCATGTTCTTGTTTACTGTTCCATTTAAAAGAAGAACGCAAATATTAATCCCAAACGTGGTCCTGTCAGGACAGGCTCATTAAAGTGACACATTTTGGTCATGTCCCGTTTGTAGCGCTCCGTAAACAGTGTTGGGAAGGCACTGCCACCCTACTGCTCTAAGCAACCCCATCCTGGTGGGATCCCTGCTGGAAATCCCCCATTTCCAAAATCCACCTGCAGCTGTGTGTCAGTATTTCAGTTAGGAAAAGGGGGCAAAGCAAATTTATTTTGAAGTGTTTATTTTAACATAAACGAGATGACTTTCACTCGAACTTGCCTTTTCGCTGGCAGTGCATCATCAAAGCCTGGCCAGAATTTTGTGTATCAGTTTAATTTTGGAGGTCCATAGGATGCTGGGCCAAGTGCCCCTTTGGGTATTGATCAGGGCCACAGTGGAGTGTCAGAGGTGTCTGAATGAACAGATTCAGAGCCAGGACTTCCATGGAGTCCTGAAGGCTTTAGTTCCACTGGTAAAACATTTACACAAAAAGTTATTTTATCATAATAAAGGAGATGCATGATTTAATACTTAAACAGTTCCACTGAGCCCTCTAAGCTGTCCATTCCTTTGATTTCATTCAGGGGTTTGACAGATGGTTTATATTTCTCCAACACAGAGGAAGTTGTATTCTGATAAAAGCTGAAGGAATGTATCTCAGGTTCTGGTGTACATTGTGGTATTTCCCTTTCTCCCTCACAAAATTGGACCTTGACTTGTGCCACTTGCTTCCTTTGTTCCTCATTCTCCTTCAAGGTGTTCACTGCCACAGATCAAATGCATTCCTGCTCAGTAGAAAAGAGTCTTATCATTAAAATGTAGACTATTATTATTTAAAAAAAAAAAAAAACAAACCTAGAAAAACTCAAAGCGAACCAAACAAACCCAAAGGAAAAACATGCTAAATGGCAGAGATAGCCCCTTAAGGGATCCTGGGAGTGGCTGTGTGGAGAGACCTACAGCAATGCAGTCTGGAAGGGGGCCCAGCCTCTTGTCAGCATGGTGTCACATCAGAATGTAACTGATTGTCCGCCAATTCTTGGGACCCCCGTCACTTAGTTATGCCACATTTACATTAAATCCCTGTTGCCAGGATGGATGGCAGCCACTGACAAGAGACTAGGTTGAGACAAAGCATTTTTAAGATGAAACCTTAATTTAAATATGGATTATCTGCCTCCTGACAGGGTTAAGCAGTCTCTCTTTTCTTTCTTTTTGTTGATGTTGTTGTTCATTAAAGCAATATTCCTTTGAGTGTCAGAGCAAAGGTTTCTGCTTTAAAGGGGGCCAGGACTTGTTGTTAGAGTGCACCTTGGATCTGACCATGCAAAACACTGCAGGATGTGAACAGGTTTTCTCAGATGTGCAGTGCTATTGACCCCCCCCGGCATTATTCACAGGAGCAAAGTATTTTAACACTGGAAAAATGGGGGCTCTGCTTATGATAAAAGTACCTCCAAGTGATGAATGGGCTCCCAGGCTCAGTGCTAGGAAGGGCCACTTTCTGCAGAGCAGTTTCTCATGTGGATAAGTGTTTTCAGGTTTGGACCCATAAGAGTTTTAGAGCAGGAGGCACATTTCTGCTCACCATTTCCCCTGCTTTTTTGGATGCAATAGTTGTCAGCTGAAAGCCATGCTGGTACAAAGAGTTTATGTGTATGGACAGGCTTCTCCTAAAGCAATCATTTCAGTCTTTTTTTTTTTCTTCTTTTTTTTTTTTTTTTTTTTTTTTTTTTTTTTTTTTTTTTTTTTTTTTATTTTTTTTTTGAAGGTGCTGTTGCAAATTCCAGAATGACTTTG